CAGGGTTTCTCTGTGGAGCCCTGGCTGTCCTGGAACTCACTCTGTAGACCAGGCTGGCCTCGAACTCAGAAATCAGCTTGCCTCTGCCTCCCGAGTGCTGGGATTAAAGGCGTGCACCACCACTGCCCAGCTTAGCTCATCAGTATCTTAAACCCAAAGTCATAGAAGATATCTCCTCCATCTCCTCTGCTCCCTATTGAGATCCCGGTCACCAACCTTCTCCAGTTCTGGAACGGCAGACTGAAACAGATACACTGTTACAACCTGTTGTTTCTCTCCTCTGAAAGTCCACATGTAATTGCTAGTTTGCTAGAAAAAATAAGTTTGTAAAGCCAAAGGCCTGTGGGATGGAATGAATAGAGATTTTTCCAGTTGTGGGAGAAGCAGAAGGTTCCAGAACTGCCTCTCCTGACAGACTCACTGCCCTTTTAAACCCATCAAGTTCGACTTTGTTATGAAATTAATCATTCCAATCAGATATCTGCAGAATAGTATGTAGAAACCAAGAGTGTCCAGGAGAAAATTACCAGCGCTTGCCTCCACGCCCTGGAGCCTGGCTGACCTCCAGGACCACTAGCTTGTGTTCAGAAATGCCTTTGTGCACACCTGTGGAGGACTTGCCAAAGGGAAAGACAGTTGTGACTTCCAAAGTTACTAGGACTTGGTTATTTTAAACTCCAGTTAAAAACAAAACAGAAAACCAAACAAAAACAAACAAAAAAAGTGGCAGTGTGGAGAGGAGAAAGATCTCACGTGGGGGACTCTTTCTTCAGAATAGTCTTTATTACTTTGGATACTGTCTGTCAGTACTAGACTTGTCTTTTTTTATACTTTTCTATAGACGCCTTCACTCAGACTCCTCCTCACCCCATATCTCATATATAGTGACATTATTGTACGGGTCCATGGGTATATCTGGGATCTGCAGCCTGGGGTTACTGCTAGTTGCCATGGAGACCTTAAGATTCCGCACCTTGGACACAAATTTCACCAGTTCCATCTCGAGCTGGGTTAAAGTATTGAAAGTGAAGTCTTTGCTGGGGGAAATACTTTGAGCTTTCTTTGGTGGAGAGCGGAACTGGCAGCCTCGGAGGCCGATAGGATTCTGCTCCTGTCAAGAAAGATATTCAGGGTGAACGACTCCAGTGGCCTCACTAGTTCTGACGCAGTTTCAAAAGTTAGGTTCATCTAAGAGAGAACATGATAACAAACCTAGTCTGGATGTTGGTTAACTGTGACCGAATTGGCCCACCACTTGTTTTTTGTAAATAAAGTTTTATTGGCACACAGCCCATCTCAGTTACTAGCTGTGATTGTTCTCAGGCTCATGTGGCAGAGGAAGTAGCTGCCATGGAGACTGTATGGCCACCCTTGTCTAGTCTGCACAGCTCAAAAGGATTTCTACTTGACCCTTCCCGTGCAGCTTGGCAGCCTCTGTTCTAGCCAGAGTGCCATGCGTGTGTGTGGAGGTCAGTAGGTACTGAGTGTCTTCCTCCACCACTTCACCATTTTTTCTGAGGCAAGGTCTCTCACTGAAGCTGGGACACCAGGATTCTGTTAGACTGGCTGTCTAACAAGGTTCTCCTGTTCCTACCTCCCCAGCTCTCCAGTTACAGGGGTGCACCACCATGCCTGACTTTTACATGAGTGCTGTGGAGAGAACTTGGGTTCTCAAAGTTGTACAGCAAGCACTTTTCCAACTGGGCCATCTCCCAGACCCTGGCCACAGTGTCTTGAAATGCTGGGTTTGTCTTAGACTGAACCTCTGTCTGTCTGATCCCTGAAGAGCTGCCGAGTCACTGTGGGGAACATTGGTCACTACTCTTTATCAGAGGCCTCAAACTTCCTTTACTCGAAGTAAAATTTCCTTTGGTTCAGAAATTTGTGATGAGTCAAAAGCAAGGGAAACAGATCCCATCTCCCCTGGAGTGTGTGAGCCTGCTCCTGTGAGCAGGTTTGACATGGAACACACTGGGAGCCCCAGAGTCTATTCTCAATTCGGGAGTGGGGTGAGGGTGAGGAATAAACAAAGCTTACTTCACAGGAAAATCGTGAGCTGTTTAGGAGCCCATCTCAAACTGTCCCATCCTCTGTGGACGTGGCAACTACTGTCATCACTGAGGAAGCAAGTTCGCCTAACTATCATAGGGCTTTCTGGCCAAAGCTCAAGGTCAGACTCTAGTCGTCCTACTTGTAGGAATGGAACCTGAGTTTTTGAGAGCGAACGGCCGTCGCCTGACCAAGTCCATCCTTACCTTATTCTTCTCACCGTCTCCTCGAAACTTCAGCACCACATACATCACAATGACGACAAAAAGCCAGAGCCATTTGTTCCCAAGCCAGCCTTGGGCGTTCTCTGGAATATTCTGTCTAATCCGGAAGTGTCCTCCGCAAGGCACCTTCCCTGGGCTTTCCTTGGCTTTCTCCCTCAGTGAAGAAAACATGAAGGCATAGGCACAAGAGATGCACAAAGGCAAGAACAGGAGCCATCTCAGCGTCCGCATGGTGAGCAGAGCTGGTCCGGGAAACTACTCATGGTAGGGCAGCCTGCCGTGGTGTCAGAGAGACTGAGGGGCTAGTGTTAGGGGCTCGTGATGTCACAGAGGGCCCTGAGCCAACAGCCCCAGCCATTGTGATGCCTTTAGCTTAAGAAGACTGAGGCTCACTCACTGCAAGTAGTCTGCCTGGTAGGACTTCCAGAGAGGAGAAACTTCTAGAAGACAAGAAAGGAGGACACTGTCTCCTTGCTGGAATGTTCTTGCTGAGCTTGGCACACTGTAGCGAGAGGCCATTGTCTGTTTCTGGTTTCATTTATTTGATCCAGACAGTGGTGAGCTGCAGGTACAAGGTACTCCTCAGAGGTAGATCCAGTGAGAAACAGGGTTACCAGTCACAGGCTGCTCATCAGGGCTCATGGATGTCTTTCCTTTGGTCTGCACCTGCATTTAAGTGTTGTGGGGACTGTCATCCAAGGAGCTGGGGAGATGGCTCTGTAGGTAATGTTTGTATGCAAGTATACAGCTTTGAGTTTAGTCTTCAGAGCTTGCATTAAAAATCTAGTTGTGGCGTGCCCTTACAGTCAGAGCCAGGGAGGCAGGGACAGCCTGAACATGGACTTGGTGGCTAGCCAGCCTAAGGAAGTACTTGTTGAGTTCTGGGCCAGTGAGACCATCTCAAAAGACAAGATGTACAGCATCTGAAGACCAATAGCCAAGGTTTACTTCTGGTCTCCACATGCTCGCATACGACCTGTGCACGCTCACATGTGCACACAACATATACACCACACACAACACACATTCACACATACACCACACACACACACACACACACACACACACACACACAAATGTATTTGAAGCCAGCCATTTGCAGAGGTGACATGAAACAGAACATACTACCCATACAGCATAAGGCCCACACTTGTCCCTCCTAGGTCACTGGAGGGATCTTGAGACTGTCCCCTGAGCAGTGACTTTCTGCTAACACACTGCCTCCAACTGCACTGCACTCTGAGCGTTACATGGCTTGTACAGAGCCAGCGAGCAGCACGGGTACTCGCCTAGGGCAGAGTGTCGGTTCCTGTGGGCCTCTTATCAGATACTGGTTTGGGTACAGATACAGGCCCTCCTGGTGGATTAGAGACTAGGCTTCGTGTCATGTGACCTTCCATCCAGAGGCTACAAATGCTTACTCCAGAAGCAGGTGGTCCTGGCGTTTACCGCCATGGGCCGGGGGTGCAGTGTGGCCTGTTTGGAGGGTCATCCTTGGCAGGCCCTATGCAAGATCGTGAACATTCCCATGCTGAAGGGATTGCAGGCTGGGTAGCCATGTCTGTAGGTACTGCTTCTGAAGTCAGATCTGGCACAGGTGGCTGTGTGGGGACACCCCCTGGGAAGATGGCCTCCATTTGCAGATGGCCCCCCCACACACCCGGCACACTTGATTTCAGCTGTCTGGAAACTCTCATGTATACCCAAGTGTAGGAATCCCAGAATCCCCTTCCCCTCAGTGTGTTCACTGAACAGAAGCACAAAGGTCCTGGAGAAGAAATTCTTCCTGGGTCAGGGGTCACTCAGGTGGTGGGTGGAGGCCAGCTCTAGGGCCCTAGGAAAGGCCTGGCTCCTCAGCCTGGTGCAGCAAGGTTTCTCACTGACACCTAGGGCCACTCAACAAGCTGTTCCCCCACTCTCAGGGAGGCATGCCTTTGCTAATCTTAGAGGCTGGAGACAGATCTCAGAATAAACCCCATTTCCTGTTTTCAGGGGTCTCCTCTGGGGGCAGGGCAGAGGAGGGAGGGAGTCACATAAACCCAGGCAGAAGTCTGGAAATTTTTGAGGCTGCAGATCTGAAGACATCAAAGTTTCAAAGCTGTGAAATGTCAAAGTGGTTTTAAAAAAAATGATAAAAAATTTAAAGTTTGTAATTAGTAAACTATGGCTTATGAGGGCTGAGCTTTCTTTGTAAAGATAGGATAAGAGAAAAATGGTGTCACGTTAATTCAATGACAGCAGCTTTGAGTTTGCACTGTTTGCATCCTCAATAAAGGCCTCTTATGATAAAAAAACCCAAAAAACAAAAAACAACTAGCCAAATAAAGTAACTGTTATGAGAATTTAACAACAAAAAAATCCCTTTATAGTTTTCACTGTATTAAAAATAGTTGTTTTTGAATAATAAAAATTCATTACTTTTTTTTAAGACAGTGTCTCTTGTATCCAAGGCTTGTCTAAAACTTCTTTGTGGCCAAGGATGGTCTTGAACTTCTGATCCATCTGCCTCCAACCCCAAATTCTGAAGCGACTCATGCCTGTCACATCTAGACTGTGTAATGCTGGGGACAGCACCCAGGGCTTTGTGCGTGCTAGGCAGGGGCTTGACCCTGTGAGCCACATCCTCAGCTGGAACTCTAGCCCCTGGGAGGGTGAGACAGGAAGACCTTGAGTTTGAGGCCAGCCATGCATATATGCACATTTCAAAGCAAAAACAACCCCCCCAAATCTTTCTATAACCTTTATTTCAAGTTTCTAAGTACACAGGCCATGCACCCAGGTTTTCTTGGACAGTGGTCACTCACGACCTGTCCTGCTGCACACTTCCACAGTGCCCCCAGCACTGTCCCAGAACACACACAAGGCTATTTGGGGCCAAGCCTCACAGCCTGCAAGCAGAAAACCAGAGGGCAGCAGGAGCAGGGGCTTTTCTTGGGTTGTTTGCTGAGGTGAGGTCTTGCTATGTAACCTTGCCAGTTTTGACATCATGGTGATCTTTCTGCTGCAGTCTTCTGATGGCTTGGATTACAGACATGCCACCATGTTTGGTTTGAAAACAGAGGCTTTAAGTGCTTGTAAGTTTGTGGGCATGTGTGGAGGCCAGAGGCAGACACTGGGAATCTCAATAGCACTCCAGCTGGTGTCTGAGGCAGGCTCTCCTCAAACCCTGAACTCAGCCTTGTCTTACAGGGGCTCCCACGTCGGCTACAGTGTTCAACAGGCTTTTATAAAGGTTCTGGGGATCAAGACTCTGGTTCACAAGTGTTCATGGCAAGGGCCTTAACTACTGAGCAATCCATCTGCCCAGCCCAGAAGCAGGGTTTTGGAATCAGCCTACAGAGGCAGATCTATCACACCCCAGGAAGTGTCCCAGAGATTCCGATTTTAACTGTGGGCATGGAAAAGGAACCGTTCCTGCCTGCCACTGGCACGTGGACGGCTGCCATTCTCTTACCAAGTCACTGGAGAGGGAGAGAGAAGGAAGAGGAGAGAAAAGGACGTCAGTTTGTACCAGGCAGTCAGGTGTGTTTCCTCTCTGCTGTCTTTGTATGAGACAAGAGGAACCCCATGAGGAGCAAGGGCTGAGACTGTTGGATATCTGTCCCTAAGCTCAGGGCCGTACCCCTTGACCCATTATGATTTCGGAAAATGAGCGAGTGTACAGTGAGGAGCCATAGTCTTTTGTTACCTAATATAAGCAGCGGAGTCACCAGGCTAAGTGAGGTGTAGGGCCTGTGGACAGCTACTAGGTATGTCACCGGCCACTTCTCACTCCCAGGACCCACAAGATCTCACAGCAAGTGACCACACCGGTCGAGGATTGCAGAGGACAGCTTTATAGCACAGTGCCACACCAAGGAAGTGTGGCACAGAAGCCAGGGGGAAGCCCGTGGCGAGGCCAGGCCTGCTTCAGAAGCAGTAGGACGTGTGGGTGACCCAGTGCGCAGACTCCTCCTTGGAGCGCTTGGCAGAGCTGTGGCTGGTGAAGATGGACTTGTAGGTCTCAGACTCCTCACTGTCTGCGATGGACCTCTTCAGGGCCCCACAGGGGGGCCTGCCGACTCTCCCAGAAGCACTCCCGTTAGTTGCTAGAAAACAAAGCCACAACCGGTCAGGCTGGGACTGAAATCATTCCAAATGACTACGTTTTAAAGGGACCGAGTCACGCATGCCACGTCACCACGCTCCCAACGTCCTGCTGTTCTCTGGAAAGAAGCTGAAGCAAGGGCAGGGCCGATGTAGCCCAGGCCATCCTTGAACTCACTGCAGCCCAGACTGGCCTTGACCGTATCCTTTGGCCTTCAGCTCCCAAGTGCTGGGATTATGGGAGTGGTCATTGCACTATTTTATACCGAGCCCAGGGCTGTGTGCATATTTGTTAGGGTTCTAACCACTGAGCTATATTTCTTGCCTACAGTGTATTAATTACTTGATTCAGGGCCTCACTATGTAGTCCTGGCTGGCCTAGAACTTAGTATGTCGACCAGTCTGGCCTTGAACTTGGAGTGCGTTTCCTAACTCTGCCTCCCAAGCAGCCATGCCTGGCTTGAAGCACAGACTCTTACTAGTGTCTCCTGAAAGCTAGCCAGCGCCCCAACCACTTAAGGCCTAACTGCGTGCTAGCACCAGATTGTCTCCAGCTTCTCAGTACTCAGGCTGAGGGCCTGGTCTTCTCAGGTTGGTATTGAACAAAGACAAAGAGAGTCCAGAAGTCCCAGTGGCCTGTCCTGGCCAGCCCACTATCCTGACTGAAGCCAGGATGGCCACTGGTCACTGCTTATGCTGGACATAACACAATCTCTCTCTCTCTCTTTTCCCTTTCTCCCCCCTCTCTCCCTCTCCTCCTCCTCCTCCCTCCCTCTCTCCCTCTCCCTCTCTCCTGCCTGTCTCTTCTTGTAAAAGAACTGCACTCTTCCTTTCTTGGTGCACTGCTGGGCATTGAACCCAGGTCCTACACACACTAAACATGTGCTCTATTTCTAAGCTACAGCCCCAGGTCCCTTTTGCTTTATTTTGATAGAGGATTTTAGTAAGTTGCCTAGGCTGACCTCAAACTTTTGATCCCCCTGCCTCAGCTCCCAAGTAGCTGGGATGACAGGCCTGTGACAGGCATGACATAAATATTTCTTTTCCTTTTTGGTTTTATTTTTCCTCTTTCTTTCTCTGTAAGTGTGTGTTTGTGTGACTGGATGATGTGTATGTGCCTGTCGAGGCCTGAAGAGACTGTCAGGTCTCCTGGAGGTGGAGTTACAAGTGGAGCTGCCAGATATGGGTGCTAGGAACAGAACTCAGCTTCTCAGCCACAGCGCTCCTGGCTCTGAACTGCTAGACCAGCTCTCCTGCCCTTTTTCTTTTTGAGACAGAGTCTCAGTACATAGCCCTAGCTGGCCTGAAACTCATCATGTGACCTAGACCGGCCTGAACTCAACCATGTGGCCCACACCAGCCTGGCATTCATGGCTGAACCATCTCTACCACTGGGCTGGTGTAAACACTGTTTTCTTTGGAAAAGACATTGAGTCTCAAGACCTGTTTGTCCACTTGGCCAAGAGGCAGATAGAAAAGACCTGAGGGGCGCATAGGAAGGAACTGCAGTGCCCAAGCTTCCACACAGTGTGTCTGCAGTGCCCAAGCCCTCCACAGTGTGAGGCATTGAGTGTAGCTGTGTGCTGCTGTGGTATGGGACCATAAGCCTGCACAACAGTAAGAAATGGGCTGTGTGCCCAGAACCTTTGGCTGCTCTTTAATTCAAAGGACATGGGGAGCCACCGATGAATGATCGGGAAAGCCTAAGTTTTCTCATCCCTTTGCTCTGGCTTTCCAACTTTCTCAGTTCTCTGCTGGCTCAGTAAGACTCACCTGTGCCCCTGGGAGCCAAGGTGCTTTTCCTCTCTCTGGGATCAGGGTCTGCCTCCTCAGGCTTGCCAGCCTTCACTTTTGATGGCCCTGCGGAGTCTGTAGAAGACAGAATCGGCAAAATAAACCTTGAGCCAAAGCAGAGGAAGGCCCTGGTATATGTAGATAAACTACACCCAGGTTCTTAAGGCCGTACCTTGTGTGATACCCGACTCTGAAGCACACTCTGCTGTCTTCGGTTTCTTTGTTTTCTGTAAGAAGAAAAAAACTGTTGGAGGGTGTGGTGGTTGAATGGCAAAGTCTCCCAGAGGCTTGGGTATTTGAACACTTGATCCCAACACTTGGTATAGTTTGTGAGCTTAGGGAACCTTCATCAAGTGAAGGTGCACTACTGGGGTATACCACCTCATCCCAGTTCCAGTTTACTCTGCTTCCTGAGTGTGGACGGAGGTGTTCTCTCAAAGCCTCCTGTTCCTCCCAGCCACGATTGACTCTCACCCTGTGGAACTGTGAGCCAAAATAAACCCTCCCTCTGGAGGCTGCCACTGGTCATGGTGTTTCAGCACACAGACAAGTAATTGATCTGGTGGGGTGGAAAGCGGGGAGGGAGGGGGATATGCTCAAATTAAGTGGATCACAGTGGCAGTGGGCCTGCCTAGGGCCCAGAGTCCCTTTGACGACCTGACACGTTCTCTGAGGGTGACCTGTCTACAGTCTAGCAGCTATGCCCCACAAAAGGCTGAGTCCATACAGACTCATACGGATAGGCTCAGTGACTCAACAGAGGTAGCTCTGTGATAGGGCATCCATCTAGTGTTCAGGAGGCCCTGAGTTTGATCCCAACACCACAGTACAAACATAGAAGGTCACTATTTCCAGTGACTACTGTACACAAAAGAGCACTTAAACAATAACATAAATTCTACACCCATGAACATACATAGAGTTTCACTTACTCTGAGAACTCAGTTTCAGAGCTAACAAACTTTGATGTCTGTTTAGCTGTAAGGCTGAAGAACTGAAGAACGTTACTAGTTAAACACTGGATTATTGTCATTAGATTTTTATTTTTTATTTTTTTTTTTAAGATTTATTTATTTATTATATTTGAATACACTGTAGCTGTCTTCAGACACACCAGAAGAGGGCATCAGATCTCATTACAGATGGTTGTGAGCCACCATGTGGTTGCTGGGATTTGAACTCAGGACCTCTGGAAGTGCAGTCAGTTCTCTTAACCACTGAGCTATCTCTCCAGCCCGTCATTAGATTTTTAGATGCTCGATTGGTAACATAGTTATTGTTCACCCCCAGAAAGCTGACCCTTCTGAAATTACATTTAACTGCACAGATGATCAGAAGGGCAGCACAACTTACTTTAAAACACCATTTCCATAAGAACCTCAAAAGTGTACCAGAGAGACACAGCCTTGCCAGCAGCACACACACACCTGCTGTCTCAGCACAGGGAAGGCAGGGACATGAGAATCATTTAAGACCAGTACATTCGAGACCAGCCTGGACTTCATGAGACCATCTCTAACATAAAAAAGTAAAACAAAATAATGAATTTTGGAAGGCTCTCATCTCTTACACTGAACAAAAGACCTTTCTTGGTGGTGGCCTTCGATGTGTGACGACATCCATGCAATGTGACTTAAAGCATTTGGAAAAAAAAATGGTAAGAAACAGTTCATTTCACACATGAAATGCTCACACGCAAATCTGTGAAGGCTGTTACTAAAAACCAAAAACCCCACAGACTACGGAGATGTCTCAGTGCAGAAGCATCCATTGTAGAGATCTGGGCATGACTGTGCATGTCTGTACCCCAGAACTGGCAGGTGAGAGACTAGGACCCTGAGAATTTGCTGTGCTGGTTAGCCAGTCATGCCGCAATGGTGGTCTTCAGGCTTACTAGGAGACTCTGTCTCAGGGTAACAGAGCAGAGAGTGACAGAGGAAGACACCTGACATCCTGTCGTGTGCACACACTCAGCATCCACACCCCTCAGTCACACAAAACAACCGAGACGAACGCTCAGTTCTTCTCCCCTCATTGACGGCAGAGCTGTTCAAAGCTGTTCAAAGCTGGAGGCGCGCAGACACAAGCCCTGACAGCAGGTGAGGTATTTGGGAAATATTTTGTATCTTGGTAGCAGTATCTAAGCGTGTTCACAGAGGCCCTGCTGAGGAGGCTGCAGAGGGGATCCAATCCCACTGGACTCTGCAGGACTTGGCAGGAAGCCTGTGATGGGACAGCCACTCGGGGAGCCACGGGCCCTCCTGGGCTGACAAAGCTCCTGGTGCTTTTCCTACACTATGCCTCTCCTCGAGTTTTTAAAAAACTGACCAAGGACAGCAAAAACCGATCTGATCCCCTTGGCTGCTGTCCCGTCACAGACACTTCAGCCTTTCTCTGTCTTTATGGTGGTAAGTGAGGAGTATTTCGAATTCACACGCACGCACGCACGCACACACGCACATGCACAGACAGATGCTTGAAGTGCTACGTTCCCAGGGCCGCTGAGCATATGCAGGTGTTACACGCACTGTTTTCCAAGATGACAGAGGAGGAGATGAGGACGGATTTGCTTCTCCTGAAAGACGGGTCCCTTGTGTGACCATCAGCTTCTTCAGCCTCACAACCACGAAACTATCACTCATGGGTGATGTGGTTCTTGTGTTCTTTCTTCTCTGACTAAAGGCACAAGCAATCCCCTCCACCCACACTGGCACTGGCAGATGTAGGCCGATTTAACGCCAGCTGTTTCGGGTCAGTGTGTCCTCACCACACCTACTGTTCTAACACTTCCAGCATTTGTCCTGTAGATTTCTTTGTTTTAGTGCTGGGATTGAACCCATAACTCTCTACATGAGAGGCAGGTGCTGTACCACTAAGCCACACTTAGCCCCTGGCTCTGCAAACTGGCTTCCAACTCTCCTGACTCTACCTTAGGAGGACAGGATTACAGGTGAGCCCCATCTGGATTTCTACCTTAGTGAAAACAAAAGGTAGGCCTACGTTTACCTGTAGCCTAACCTCCCTATAAAACAACCACCACACAATTAGAGCCATGACGAAGTCCACTGCTCTGTCTGCTAACTTAAAACCCCTCAGCTTCCTGCCCTCTGTGCCTGCTGGCCCATGCTGCAGGTGGCTGAGGATGAGGACCTCAGACCTGCCGGGATGACGGTGACTTCCGCTCTCACCTTCACCAGCTATGACAATGCATTATGACGCCTTTCTTCCCTGCACCAGGGCCTCACACTCTGTACGGAGCTACAGCCGCAGCCCATGAGAGACTGCATTTCCTGAGAGCTCCCTCAGGCCACGCTGTAGGCAAGTGCTCGATCCATCACTTTCAAATCTTTTGCACACCACCACGCCTTGAGCCACCGATCACCCACTTGTCTTGGAGATGAAGCCCACTGCGGCCAAGCCCTGGATCTGTCTCGAGGCCAGGCCTCCTAGGCTGACAAAGCTCAGCCATGGACCCTGAGCAGCATCTGCTGTGGTGGCAGGATAGTTTGCAGCAAGCTCTGGGGCAGAAGCGAAGCCCCTCCTTACCTTCTCCAGCTTGGCCCTCAGCCTCCTCTCCTCCATCCTCTTCTTCAGCATCTCCACATCCTCCTTGGTGCCATTGAGCACAATGATGTCATCCTCCTGGAAGGGAGCCCCACACTGGAGATCAAAAGAGAGGGGAGTCAGTCACCACAGGAGGGGGGCACCGACGGTCCCACTGTTCACTCTCCACTGGCCTCCAGCCCTTGCTAGGCTCCTGTCAGTTTTGCCTGCATCTTGGATCAGCTGCTCTCAGGTCCATGTGCCCAGAGCAACATAGCCTGGCAGCCCGACTCTGGAGGGTTCCGGCAGGGTGGCTCGTGTGTGAGACTTTGTACATACTGATCCAAGCTGGACACCTGGTTTCCTTTTGGGAGTCTGTAATCTCTGACTAACCAGGCCTGAGCAAAGACTCTGAGCAGTGGAACCATCTGAAGTGGCTGCAGTGTGTGGCTGGGGGTGTGGTGACTCTGTGTGAGCCTGCTCTTCCTCCCGATACCATACTGCTATGTACCAACAGCACACCTACTGCTGTGGCAATATGCCCTAGCTGAAAGAACAAGTATCTGTTAACTTCTGACAGTCTTTCCAGAAAAAAAAAAAAAAAAAGAGTTACCTAGACACATCTTAGCAGAACAAGACTAAACCATGTCCAAGGTGTCCCAGTGGTGTCTTAGAGGCAGAAACACACTTGTCAGGTCATGCTCAGCTCTGCCAGCTGCACACATGCCCATATTCACAGAATTGTAAGCGAACAAGCCCCCACCTCAGAGAGGCCACCTGCCACCACACCATTAAGTTCCTTCCTCTCCTGAGAATGAGGTCCTAGGTACTGAGTAGCCTGGGGCCTTCTTCACATTATCTGAGTTGTTCTCAATGCTATAGTCTGGGCAGGAAGAGGGACGAGGTCAGAGAGCAGGCTCTCCTACACGGAACTGAGGCTTTTGTTCCTGTCTCCAGTGCAGTCTCCTCAGCTGTAAGGGTGATTTAACTCTAGAGAAGAGACCCTCAAAGATGGCTGCACTGTACCCCAGGCACTCTACCAAGTCTGCAGATGATTCTGTCACACCCGGGAAGAGATGTCACTGCCGTCCTCTGTAAGAAAGCTGATAAACAAGATCCTGTCCTTTAAGAAGGCCCAAGGTCTCTGGCACCTCTGGACACACAGGTCAGAGGTCAGTGTGTGGGCTGCCCCTTTCTCAGAGTTCCTCTGAGGAGTGTTGTTGACTGACGGTATTTGTGAGCCCTGAGCTAGGTGGCCTCCAGAGTAGGAAGGGAGGTTCCCACTGAGTTAGAGGGCTGTCTCAGCTGCCATGACAGGCAGGGAGGTGGGGAGGAACAGCCTCTGAGCAGGTGGTCCCCTAGCAAGTCTGGGTGGAGACCCTCTCAGTGAAGGAGGGAGGTCTTTTCCTTGGAGAGAGAATGAAAGGGGACTTTTCTGGAACTCAATGAGGTGGGAAGGAAGGCCCCAGGGGCTTGGAGGCACACTCTGGCGTAACTAACCCTCCTGAGGACAGTGCAGAGTGCAGTAGGCGGGACCCTTAGTGCAGGGCCATCCTCCCCGCTGGGACCTCAGCTGCAGTTTCTCTCCAGAGGCACTGGACCTCCCTGCTTCTCAGTTTTAAAACCAGAGGAGAGCCCACCAGTGGATTTTATAATCAAAAAGCTTGACATAAAAACATGTCACACAAGAAAAGACTGTGAGGGAGAATTTTGTGAGGATGGAATTCCTAGTCCAGGACTGGCACAGCCTGTCTTAGCTGTCATAATAAACAACATGTCCACAATGACTTGTGAGGAAAGGGCTTCTTTCCACTCAACGCTCTGGCCGCACAGCACTGCTGAGGTGAGTCAAGGCAGGAACTGAAGCAGAGATAATGGAGACCATGAGCAAGCTGCTCCCTGCTTGCTCAGCCTGCTTTCTTAAACCACCCAGGAGCAGCACAGCCTGCAGTGAACTGGACCCTTCTGTAGCAATCACCAGTCAAGAAAATGCCTCACCTCACCAGCTTGTCTATGGGCCAGGCTCACACAGGTGTCAGTCAGCTCACCCAAGGTACCTTCCTCTCAGGTGACTCTAGGTTCGTGTCAAGGTGAGGAAACCCAGTCAGCCCAGCACAGGCAGGGTTAGTACCCTGACCTAAGAGTCCACCAGGAGTGACTGTCACCGCCAGGGGTCAGGATGCTGCTCACGGACCATACTCTGTGCATTCAGGGTGGTTGTGGAGAAAACCAGCCCAGACCTGGAAAGAGGCTGAACCTTAAAACCTGCTTAGTGTTTCTCTCTTGAACCTGGGTCTCACTAAGCAATGGTGGCTAGCCTTGAACTCTCTGTGAAGACCAGGCTTGGCCTCACACTAGTGGCTATCCTCCTGGGAACTCAGGGTGACCTTCCTTGCTTATCCCGCCCTGCCCTTTCCTTCATGGTGCTGGCAGCAGCCTCCTTTGGAAACAGCCCTGGCTGTGGCCTAATTCTCGACACACACATACCCAGCACTGATGTATCACGACAGCTAAATAAGACACTAGCTGTTAGGAGTGTGGCGCTGGGGGGATGGCTCAGTGGTCAGGGACGCTTCGGTCCCCATCCAGTGGCTCACCACCGGTAACTGCAATCCCAGGGGATCTGACAACTCTCTTCTGACCTTGTGGGTACCTGTATGCAAGCAGTGCATGTACACCCATGTACACACACACACACACACACACACACAGAGACCCACATAACAAACCTTTTTTTTCTTTTTTAAATCAACTATCTTTTTTAAAAAGTTATTTACTTATTTTATGTACATGAGTGCACTGTAGCTGTCTCCAGACACACCAGAAGAGGACATTAGATCCCATCACAGATGGTTGTGATGCTGGGAATTGAACTCAGGACCTCTGGAAGATCAGCCAGTGCTTGTAACCGCTGAGCCATCTCTCCAGCCCTTTAATGAGCTATCTTAAGACTATAATCCCAGCGCTAAGGAGATTGAGGCAGAACTACCGTGAGTTCATGGCCAGCCTAGGCTATATACGGAGTTTGAGGCCAACATAGATTACACAACAAAACCCTGACCACAAAGCAAAAACGAAAACTGGAAGTATTCCCCCCACACTCCAGACCTTAAAAGTCCCATAAACCCTCATGACACTGGTTACTTAGACCTAAGCGAAGTAGGACTGTCCCTCAGGACAGTCTCCTCCAGGTCACATGTCACATGCTCTGCTCTGGGGAGAGCTTTCTTATACCCAACCTTGTATGTAGGTGAGAGACGCATCCTAAGAGGCAAGACAAACAACGGAAGCAGCCAGCCATGGCGGCCAGCCATTACAGCAGCTCTTCCCCATGGCTGGAGGTGCCGTGATGGGGAGGAAGGGCAGGGCTGATGCAGAGATGTTTCATGGGGACTGAGTCACATTTGTTAGGAACACATTTTCCCTCCTTTCCAAGTTAGCTGAGAAGTATTTAATTTAAGTTGGCCTGGAACTCACAGCAATTCTCCTGCCTCAGCCTTCCAAGTGTGATAGGCAAAAACACCATGCTCAGATCTTAAATCTTGAGACACGGTCATCACTGGTAGCCCAGGCTGGCCTCCACTGTTAAGTTGTGTGCACCATGCCTGGCTGCTCTTCTAAAACGGTTGTACAGAAACTGCCTCGACAGATGAGGCCTGACACCACCCAGACACAGGCTGTATTTGCTCTGTCCCATCAGGAGCTTGATGAGTGGTCAGGCCTGAAGGTCACGGAGACTTTGCCAGCTACTCCACCAAGACCTCCTTCTATAGCAGCTGTGACAGCTGCTCCACAAAACACACTCAGGCCTCAGGGTCACTCCGCTAACAGGTGAAGACACCATCCACCCACCCTGCCATGCCATCGAGCTCAGGAACCCAGAAACACGAAAGAGGATGAACCTTCAGTGCTGTTCTCCCTTTCATTCTTAGGGTCACATGTGCCCTTCCCCATAGTGAGTGAGTGAGTGAGTGAGTGAGTGAGTGAATGTGCAAAAGTAGATCTATCCAGAGTGAACTTAAAGACAGAAGGGTCACAAAAATTGGCCTCCTGCTCTAAAAGGAGTTCCCTCTCCCTCTCCCTCTCCCTCTTCTTCTCCCCTCTCTCTGTGTGTCTCCTTTTTTCTTTTTGAGACAGGGTTTTATGGTGCAGCCTTGGCTGGTCTGGAGAACACTTTGTAGACTAGACTAACTGGGAATCATAGAAATACGCCTGCCTTAGTCTCTCAAGCACAGAATGCTGAGATTTGGCTTTGAAGAGCACATTAGGAATATGCCCAAGATCTTAGAAACTATAAGGCCAATCAGAGCCAGTGGTTTTCTGAGTCTTCGGGTTGAGCCCCGCCCCACCACACCTGGCGTGTGCTGTTCAGAGAGAGAGCATGAAGGCTGCACACCCTCATCTGGCTGTTGGTCAGTACCTCCCATTGCTTTGTTTATGCCCCACCCCTCTTCCCTGGCAGATGTACAAATTTGAAGAATTCTCAGGATCACATTCAGCAGTCTTTTCCACACCGTGTCAGGATCAACAAGAATACATGTCCCCAGGGATGCAGAGGCAGCCCAGCCTGCCAGGCAACTCTGAGAAGCAGGAGCCGCAGAGAGGGAAGCATCAGAGTCGGTGAGAGGAGAGGTGACTGGGCCAGCACCTGCCCAGGTTCCTGCCAGGAACGGGCCCTGCACCTGGTGAGTGTGTCTCTAAGAGGATGGGGAGGGCATCAGGGCAAGCAGCTGTGCGTTCTGAAGGAAACAGGGCTTTCTGTGACTGTAAACACAGCAACAGGCACAGCTGCCTGTGACTGCAGACACAGTATTAGCAATGTACGGCAGGTGGGCATCACTTTCCCCTCAAAGAGTCCCGTGTTTTTTGGCTTTAAGCCAAAGAAAACTATGGTGGACCATTTCTACAGCATGTGACAGATGACATTTCACAAGTGTTAAAAAGCCACCATGTATTAACCCCGATTTACTTAAGGCTACTGGCAAAGCCTGATTCTGAAGATGCTACTGCAGATGAACTGGCGGCTGTGCTTGTTCCAAGTGGACACCCACGGAGGAGCCCGCCTCTGCAGACACACGCTGAGCCAGCGCACACTGCGAACGAGATGTCCCTCTTATGATGGCCTGTGGGCTCAAATTAGCCCACCTAACGTGCTCTGTCTAGCAGTTTACAAAGGCTGACACTCATGGTGCTGTGGACACTGTCCTGAGTCCAGGGAGGACAGAGAGGAGAGCACCTGCCCTGCTGTGACCGCAGTGACTTGTGTCACCATGTTCACAAAGTAGGTGTGACACACAAGGTCTGCGACCAACCAAGCAGCAGGCTGGTGAGGACCCCACTGAAAGGAGCAGGAGAAGGGACACTCAGGAGGTCCTGTGGCACCCACTGGCCTGGCTCCCTGGTTTGCCCTCAGCCCTCATGTTCAACAGCAGGCTCTCAGTGTGAGGAATAAACCAGTGAGCTGGGCTGTGGTAAGGCCTGAGGAAACTCCGACAACTGCTGATCCAATGAAGAGAATTCTCAAAAGGAGTAACACTGTAGCTCATGTGACAACACTAAATAGAAACAGTGGGGCAGGCTTGTGCTCAAACAGCAGCTGGCTGGGCAGTGGAGTCTGAGTGGGTGATGGTCAGACCCCAGTATCAGCTGGGCTGAGGACCAGGAGAAGGTAGAGACACCTTGCTCTCATCCACCTACCTAAAAACCACTTAGGCCAGGGAGTGCCCTGAAGGACACTGGGCTACCCCTGGGACAGTCATCATTTAATTATATAAATGTCTGAAACAGCAGTCCCTGGGGCATGGTTACAGGAGGAGGCTTACGGGGGTGGGTGGTGGGTGGAGGTGGATGCCCTGCCAGTGTGAGAATCAAGCAGACCCCAAGCCTTCTTCCTGGCAAAACCTACACCACCAGGAGGGGTGTTCCAAGCCATGAGTACTTACTGTGTACCTTGGTCAAAATTCCCAAGTTTCAGTTGGGTGTGGCGGCACATGCCCTTAACCCTAGCACAGAGCTCTGTGAGTTCCAGGCCAGCCTGGTCTACACAGTGAGTTCAAGCCCAGCCTGGTCTACACAGTGAGTTTGAGGCCAGTCAGGACTACATAGTGAGACTCTGTCTCAAAAAACCCAAGCAGGTTGAAAAATCAGTAAAGCCTGAAATGACATCAACCAAGAATCCTACGTGTTGTGAAAGACTTGATCTGTGTCTCTTTTAACAAGGGTCCTCTGTCCTGGGGACTTCGATCCTGGGTGCAGGACCATTTATTCTGGGGAGCAGACTGGAACTGATGAGCTATCAGAGTGCTTATAACCTTGCAAGCTCTACAAACTCTTTTGTAAAGGAGCCCCTGAGGCTTGATGCTCTCGGCAATTGACACACACTGACTGAATCTGTGTGGCAGCAGCTGAACCCATGGCAACAGCTGCTTTGTATTTCAAAGCATGTTAGGTGATCTCAAACTACAATGAAAATCAATGTGGTATTTAAGACACCCGAGACAGGCAGCACTCTCGATGTTGTGAAACCTGAAAGCAACTCAGAGCTCTACCGACCCCCAAGTCACATTAAGGAACAGAGCTCCTACAAGTCCATTTGCCATGACAACATGACGGCACCAAAGAATCAGGACTGACAAACAGCAAACCTCCTGACATGTCCTCCGGCCAGCTCTCCTTTCCTGATGTACAAGGACAATGATGGAAGGTGTATGAAGCAGTCACCTCACTAATGTGCTCTCAGCATTGTCTGCTGCAGCTGTACCTGCTCAAGTTCCCACTCCATTTCTAGACAGCTCACCATGTTGGTGTCAAGAGACATCATTACACACCTTGAGTTTAAGGCCTAAAAGCAATTCATCGGCTCATTTCCAGGTTTAACTTTGTAACCACAAGACTGCTCTCTATCTGTTGCTCAAATTCTTTACGGAAAGATTCAGACTCATTGTGAAGGAGAACAGAGTGAATACAGGGAACAGCTCATGAGCTGTGCTCAGCTGAGACAGTCATCAGGGACACACAGTGACACTACAGGGAATCACCCCTCAAAAGCCAATTAGGATGGTTACCATGGGAATGGAGTGCTGACTGGTACAGAATGTAGGGAACTCTCCTACCTATACATCCAACATGAGAGACGGCCACTCACTACCCCACACTCACTGGAGACAGACAAAAACATCAGTCTACACAAAGACTCGTGCACAATGATTAGAGCATCTTTGTAACAATGAGACACTGAAAATGACTCAAGTGTCCATCAACGGCTAAACAGAGATTGTGTCTGGCCATGAGACGGAGCATCACCCAGCAATGGAGATGTGCCAGAGAGAACTGGACTGACAAGGGTGACTCTCAGAATCACTACCGAAACTAGGAAACCACCCCGGCCAAGAGCCCACTGTATGAGTCCACTAGGTCACAGTCGCAGAAGATGCAAAGCAACCCGGAAGCACAGAGACCACACCCATGGCTGTTGCAGGGTGGGGTGGAAAGGCTGATGGGTTACCAGGGGTAGAAGGAAACGTAGGGCCAAGTTGCCCTGATGTGGTGGTAGTTTCAGAGTGTACACACATTTAAAAGTGGTCAAATCATACGCACGTGTGCCTAATGCACCTGCAGTCCAGAGACTTAGGTGCCAGAGATAGGAGGCTGTGTAAACCCTTAAGTTCAAGGTCAGCTTGGGCAACATAGCAAGCCCCTCTAAAAAAGGCAGAAAGAAAGAAGCCACTAAACCAAGTTCTGCTCACCTGGCACGTTCCCATCTGTCCATCCACAGATCCTGGAAGCTGCTGTGTAGCCAATCTGTCCATCCACCTATCTGTCCATCCACAGATCTCGGAAGCTGCTGTGTAGCCAATCTGTCCATCCACCTATCTGTCCATCCACAGATCTCGGAAGCTGCTGTGTAGCCAACAATGACCTCGGACGTCTGCTCGTCCTGTCTCCATCCACTAGTGCATAGCTAAGACACGCAACACCACGCCTGGCTCATGGGAACCCAGGGTTGCACGCATCCCCAGCCCAAGCGACACCCTTAAGAACATACTGTGAATGTGCTTCAGAAGAGTTGGGGGTGGCAGGGGCTGGAGGAAGTTACCCTACTCTCTAAATGTTCTGTTGTTCCTTTAGGAAACTGAAAGGAAACCCTTTCAAGCTATGGTGGCGACAACACACTGAGAGCTCAAAGCATGAGCCAGCTCCGGACCACAAAGGCTGGGCTGGTGGCGTGTGGGATAATCTGTGTCTTCATCTTTCTCTACTTTCGAAACCCAGGTCCTGAGGAGGCTGAGGAGGAGCCCACCCACCCAGCTGTGGTGGACTGTGGCTTCTATCCAGATGAATTGTGCTCGGCTTTATTTGACGGGAAAAAGGCAGCCCCCCAAATTGCACAATTCTGCAATTCCCCTCACAACTCTGAAGTACTTGCTCATTTGCACACACCGAGAAACTGCTCCAGGATGGCCCGGCGGCTGCACTTCATAAGCAGACCCCTGTCTGCAGAAGAGGGGAACTTCTCTTTGGCATATGTTATACATGCTCATGAGGAGCTAGCCATGTTTGTGCGGATTCTCAGAGCAATTTATGCACCTCAGAATGTCTACTGCATCCACATTGATGAAAAGGCCCCAAAGAAGTTTAAGAGTGCCGTGCAAACCTTCGTGGACTGTTTTGGAAATGTCTTTCTTTCATCAAAGACACAGAAGGTTGCTCATGACAACCTCAGGAGGCTGCAGGCAGAGATTGACTGCCTGAGAGACCTGGTCCACTCCCCATTTCAATGGCACTATGTTATGAATCTCTGTGGACAGGAATTCCCTATCAAAACCAACAAAGAAATCATCCGATACATCAGAACCAGGTGGAGGGGTAAAAACATCACTCCCGGGGTGGTCCCACCCCTAAACACCAAACCCAAGACAGGCCGAAGCTCTCCGAAGCCCAGCCCCAATGAAAATAGCTACACGTCTCCAAATACAAGGTTCAAACAAAAACCACCCCATAATCTAACAATTTACTCTGGAAGTGCTTACTACGCACTTACGAGAGAGTTTGTAGGGTTTGTCCTAACTGATCCCCGTGCAAAGGACATGCTGCAGTGGTCCAAAGACATCCACAGCCCAGAGCAGCACTACTGGGTGACCCTGAACCGACTCAAAGGTAGGATGACTCACAACGTGGTAACGCTCAGGGAAGAAGCTGGCGGGGCTGACTCTCTAGCTGTCTTGCTGTGGCTTTGTAGAGGGCCTCCATCTCACAAGGCCTTCCGCTCAAAGAATATGGGGTGGCTTCTTGTTTTAGGGGTGTGGAGTCAGGGAGACAGTCTTGTCATGTTCCCATCCAACCTGGATATTTTAGGCTCATCTGTGTCTCCTCCAACAGAATCTTTTGGAAATCCTGGGCACAAATGTTTGGAAAAATATGCATTTTTTTTCACTTAATAATATTATTGGACAGTCAGTACAGCCTAGGATTGTGCTAAGGGGTCACACCTATAAATCACAGTTTTAAAGCTGAGGCAGGGGGACAGATGCACAGTACAGCCTGAGCTACAAAGTGAGTTCTTGACTAGAAAACAGAAAAACAAAAAACCCCCAAACAGGAACTCTGACGCAGTCTGTGGCAACCCCACCGCCTCTGAGGGAGCTCTGGTCGGTGCTGTCCTTTAAGTGAGTTTCTATCACCATCTTTGAGACAGGTTCACTGGTTCCCTCACAGCATGTGGCTTCAAGCATGGCCACCTATGGTTGGTGATTAATAACACTCCTGCAGATAGGGACCCAGCAGGAATGGTCTTGGGGCGTTCTGTGATCTCTCATGCCCGCTGCAAGCCCTGTTCCCAGATCACCTACCAGGGCTGTTAGAAGGGAATGAAGCCCAGAGCCCCAGCATGGTCCTGAGGGCATGTCACACATATCCAGTGAATTCCCAGAGGCAGGAACAGGATGGACACTGCCCTGGCCAGGCCATACACTGCTGGGCACTGCACAGGTCTGTCTCTCAGTGACTGCATCTCTGGAAGGGCAATGGCAGACACCACAGCTTGCACTACAACAGGCGGGAACTGTCTGCTACAGTGTGCTCTGGTGTTCTCTCCCCTCAGGTGCTCCAGGTGCCACACCAGATGCTGGATGGGAAGGACACATTCGAGCCACAAAGCGGAGGACAGAGGCAGGAGATGGTCACAAGGGGTGCACAGGTAAAGTCCTGGAAAGCAGTCTGCCTCAGCCTGTGGGGTGCTAGGACTAAGAATACACCCTAGTCCTGCTCACACTGGGCACGGGCAGCCACGCAGCTCTCAGGTAGTTCTTGCTGCAGGAGAGTCCTGTTCTGCTCTGGTGGATTCTCCCTCTCTGCTGTCTCAGAGATTTGAGTCACAGAAGGAAAGGAGAGATCATAGGTCCAGTTATGAAAGCTCTAGAGTGACCTCGTTGATGGCCAACCAGGCTGGGGCAAACACTTGGGGTGCAGGAAACTACAGAGTTCTTTGGAGGGTAAAGTCCAGTCCTCTATCACCCCAAGCTCACTTTGGAGATGGCTTCTTGAGGATAGTTGGGGACCATTACTTTACTGCACAATGCTAATGAGTTGAACAGATGTTCAATGTTCTGCAGAATTCACAGAAGTGGGGGTGTGCTCATGTTGGGGTACAAGTCGCAGACTACAGAAGGGCTGTAGCAGAGCACAGCACCCCTCTTGGGTACTGCCACTTGTTCACAGGCAGCTTCCTAAGCACGGCATCAGCTAGCACACAAGGACATCATTCTACTCAACGGTGCTTCGATATGATGCACTGTGAACTAAGACAGTAAACCAGACATGCACAGGGAGCCAGGTGCCCCCATTTCCCAGCCACGGAAAAGACTGACCTAAAGTAGACAGGTTAATAAGGGTGCCAACTCTGATGCCAAAGTAGCTCAAAGATGAGTAAACACAGCTGTTCTGACAGTGCCAGGTCAAAGAGCCACAAGTGTTCAGCTCAGTAGGTTGATTTTTTTTTTTTTTTTTTTTTGACAGTGGCAGTGAAGAAGAGACAGGGTCCCTACTAGGTAGACCAGGCTAGCCTGGAGCTCAGAGATCTTCCTGTCTCTACCTCCTGGGATTAAAGGCATATGCCACCATGTCTGGCTAGAACGGTTTTTGTTTTTTAAAGTAGACATTGTAATTTAACAGGGAGCTACAACAGCAGCCATCAAAACCCTCTCCCTGCCATCCACTGAGGCTCACTGACAGATCCTGCTCCTTTATCTTTAGAGACAGGGTCTTGTTATGTAGCTGGGCTAGCCTTAAACTCATGCCCCTCTGGCCTCATCTGCACAAGTGCAGCAATCAGAGGTGTGTGGCCACCCTCGGCACAGCTCAAAGACTGACTCCATGGCCTTGCAGGCTTCTCCTTGCTGTCCATCAGAAAGGTCTGGCGTAGAAAGTTATCAACTCTCTCTATTAGTTCTTCTGAGTAAAGCTTGATACAAGCTTGTACTTGTTATTAAAGTAGGAATTAGAATCCAGGGCTCATTAGTCCCAGACTGCAGGTACTAATTCTGTCCTCATAAACATGGCAGTCCTCCTGCCTCAGCAGCCCTCCAAGTATTATGACTTATAGATGTGAGCCGCCTTGCTTGGTGCAACAGCACTCTTTAGTGGCTCGAACTCTTTAGAATGTCCCCCAAATACTAGCTCAAAGGTGAGATTCCCTCCAGTATAAACTCAAAATCCACCCTTAGAGACCAGTAACAGATACAGAATAACACTTAATTTGAGCTCTTGTGCATAGTGGGCCCCTCAGCTGACACGTGAGGAAGTGAGCACCCCTTACTTGTACTGGGATTGAACTTGGGGAACAGTTACATGTGTTTCTTTCTGCAGGCCACGATGCCCAGACCACCTGTGTGTACGGCCTGGGAGACCTGCCTCGGCTCATCCGGCTGCCAGCTTTCTTTACCACGCTGGAGCCCTCCACAGACCCACTGGTGGCGGTGTGCCTAGAGAGGTGGCACAGACTCAAAGCCCTGCAGCAGGCTGAGGTCCCCCCAGAGCCACACTGGCCATTTCCCCAGCAAAGTCACTTCAGCGGTCAGTCCCACCACTAGGGACTGTCAGCATCGCTCCTTCAATTCCTGGATGTGAATTCAAAAATGATGCAGACATGCTCCCGCCAGACCTCACCACTGCACAGGCAGGGAGAGACCTATGAGGAAAACACCCGAGGCTGCAGCTGTGAGCTCAAGCTAATGGCTGGAGGCCCAGCGCTTTATCGGCTGCCCAGTTTCTCCACCTGCTCAATCCAGTTCATGTCATAAGACACACCAGCAGCAGGTCTGGTTCTGAGGGCCTGGAGATCCTGGGTAAGAGGCACTGATGCATAAAGCCCTACCCACAGGAAGCCATGCTTCTCTAGAGCTGTCCCCTATGGATTAAGAACAGTACAACTTTGTTCTAGAAAATTCTAGGCAAACATCTAGGCGTAAAGTGAATAATTCACAGAGGGAAACATGCTTCTTAAGAATGTGTGAAGTCTGCGTAGTCTTGGTGTACCATCTGCTGTTCTTCCTGCCATGTTGGGGCCAGCACTGCCCTGCCCGTGCCACCACCACGGGGGCTTCTGCACACAAGCGTGTGGAGAGAGAGGGAGGAGGCACTCTGGACTTTTACATAGTTTTTCGAGTTAGGTAATCATGTGGTAAGTGACCAACACCCTGGGCATGCAGGCTGAAGGCATAAAAGGTCACTGCCATCTTCCCTCCTGTCCCTGGCTCTCCTGCTGCTGCTGCTGTTGCTGTTATGGGAAACTTCTACAGACGCTCTTTCTGTAGCAACGTCCTTGGTGGCATAAAGACTGACAAGTTCAAGTATTTTATGTGTGTGAGTGTTTGCCTGCACGTATTTACCTGCACGTACGGCTGTGTATCATGTGCCCATGGAAGTCAGAGGGTAGTGGTACTCTCCAAACTTGAGTTACAAATGGGTTGCCAGACACCATGGGGTTGAACTCAGGTCCTTTGCAAGAACAGCCAGTGCTACTAACCAATGAGCCACCCCTCCAGCCCTGCAATCGTTTTTTTTAAGTAGGAGCCCAGAAAGGAAACCGACACACACTGTAAAGGCCAAATATCAGCACCTCAGTCAATGGAGGCTTCTCCCACACCGAGCTGGGAGCACGTCAGTGAGGTACTGAGAGGCCTGGAAAAGCAAAGCAGAGTCAAGAAACCCTAAAGGCAGACACCACAAACCAACTTTAAGCAAGATATATAAGATTAAAGTAGTCTCTGTCTAGGCCACACCTTTCCTTACTATACAGTGAAAAGGTTAAGCTGTCCCCTGCCCTCTTGTATGGCGATGCATTTCTTATTACAAGCCACGAGCACATGTTGTCTGTGATCTGTTTATTATATAAACCAAACCACAGCACTTGTATGTCTGTGGGTGCTGTTCTCTGGAGGCAAAGTGCACACCATGCTAGACAGTGTGAGCAAAGCTAGCTTGAGCCTCAAGAGTCTGAATTATTTTACTGCCGTCTGTACTGTGTTTGAGTGTGTCACAGCCTCTTGTGGAGACAAGAGACAGATCTCAGTGCAGCCCAGGCCGACAAGCAGAGATCAAGCTGCCTTCCCGCCACAGAACACCAGGCTGGCTTTGAACTCAGAGATCAGCCTGCCTCTGCCTCCCGATTAGTGGGATTAAAGGTGTGAGCCACCACTGCCCAGCCCTCATGTCACTGTTCTCCTGTTGGTGATTTATACATTTCAAAAGTGCCTGCCTGACCATCTTTTGGTTCTGCTCCTGTGGCTTCATCTCCCTTTCCTCCTCATGACCCACACGAGGGCGCGCTGTGCCATCTCTGTACTGGGGAGACTGCTGCAGAAAGGACCAGCGCTTGCCACTCATCCGACAGCCCAGCCAGACTCCTTTCTGCAGGCTGAAGTGAGGTGAGGTCATGTGAGCGGGTTCTGACCAATGGAAGGTGAGATGCTCCAGGTACAATGTGCAGGTCTGACCTAAAAACCTTCCAAGAGAGGGTCTCCCTGCTTCTCATCAAGTCAAGGAAAGACAGGAGGGAAGAAACTGCCCAGCCAGACTTCTGTTGGGCATCCAGGACCCAAGGATGGTTCCAGCAGCAAGCCAACCTTCTACCAATGTCCTTACTAACAAACTTCAGAAACTTCACACTGCAAGTCAGAGTCTGGTTCCTAACAACAACAGGACTATTTATTTCTCGACTTAAAGACATCCTGTTTAGAATTTTTAGATGTAAAAAGAGGGGCTCTGCAGAGTCACAATAACCCTTTCATTCACATACTGGACTCTGGGGTCCAGAGACTGCTACATGGACACATCAAGGGGCTATGTTCCTCAAAGTTTCTGGGCTGGAAAGGCAGTCCCCAGTGTAGCAGTGCTGGGAGCAGGGCCTGGTGGCAGGCAGGCATCCCAGCCTCATGAAGTAATGTTAACTAATAACATTAATGTTGTGGGTGTGTATTCTTTATAAAGGACAAGTTCTTTCCCCACATGGAGCATAACCGTACTTCAGACAGGATCTGGCAGTGTCAGTGGGGAGGGGTCTTGGCTGAGAGAATGACGGGGAGGGGCACTCCACAGACAGAAGACTCTGTCAAAAGAAGAGTGTTGCTGAAACCTGATGCTCATGACCATCTGAATCCAAGCTGGCTTGAGATGCTCCACTCCCTGCCCTCACTGTCACACACTCATGCTAACACCCTCCCCATTACGACACGGACTAACGCGCCTTTGCCAACCCTGGCACCTTGCTTGGACTCCCAGCCATATGAACTGTGAAGTGAATTCCTCTTGTCTGTAAACTGCTGGTCTCCGTAGTCAGTGTCTGCCGGGCAGACTAGGATGGGAGGGGATAAATGAATGACTAGAAGATCCCCGCTCAAGCTCTCGCAGTCCAGCAGATGAAACAATGCCCTGCCCCACTGTGGAAGTCTAAGTCAGAAGCACCTGATCCAGGGTGGGGCCTTCTCCAGCCGCAGTCATTCAGACCTCACTTCCCTGTAGCACACGTATCACTCCCTTCACCCGGAGGCTCCCACACGCCACAGCTGCATCAAGAGGTCACCTCCCAAGGGTACCACTTTTAAAGATGACAGGCTGACACAAAGTTTGCACATGCTATGAAGGCTGGTCAGCCACTGTCCCAACTCTCCACGCTGACGCCATCATCCACCAGTGTCGTGAATGCTGCAGGAGTGGAGGTGTGCTTTAATCTGAAGAACATCTGGAGCCACTGCACGCTGGCTTTTAATCACCTTAGACTAAAATCCATGAACATCAAGGTGGTCGGTCACTCCAGCCCTCGATGTGAGGTGACTGTCTGTGCCTCCGCACCCTGGCCACGCTTGCTGCTCCGTGACTGAGCTCCTGCCCAGGCTTTGCAAGTGCCCTGCACCCTCAGCTCTGAACTTAAAGCTTCAGGATGCCTTTGCAGCCCACTGCTAAGGCCGATCTACGCTCCTCTTCTACACACCCTTGTCATCTCCCTTCCATACGGGTCTCCCCAGTGGGAGGGGCATCCACAAGAGCAAAACTCAGGTGGATCTTTCCTTCAGGACATCCCACTATTAAGGGCTACGACAGGAGCTGCCATGACAACTGCTCACTAAACGCCTTCAGCAGAGGCACCATCCACGGCAGGTCTAAGCACACTCACACTCACTGAATAGTCATGGCTTCTATCCAAACACAGTAAATGCCACTATTTTGTGACTATGAGATCACATGGGTAACAATGTCCCCAACAGAGACAAGGAAGGAGCACGTGAGGCTGAGGAGAGCAGGGCCCTCCAGGCTGCCAGTATGGAGAAGAAAGAACTCAGCTCTGAAGAGAGTGGCCAGGGATAGCCTGGGTGTGTCTGAGTATGGACCTGCAGTGGTAAAGAACTATGGAAGAAGAGACGACCTGTTACTGCTTTCAGAACGACTTTAGGATTTAAACATCAGAGGGAGAGAGCTGAAGTGACTGCCATCAGCTGCCAAGAAGGGACAAACAGGGTATTGTGGACACTCACCGTGTGACAGACTTCAGCTCTTATCTCCCTCAAGGCTCGTTCAGAAAACACACAGCCACAGCATCGGAGGAAGCAAAACCTGCAGGGACCAAGGGAGAGCAGCTTGAGCCGGCATTACAACAGTGTGCACGCAGTACCCAGCCACAGGACAGAGAGGGTCACAGTGCAGAGAGGGCACAGGACAGAGAGGACACAGGACAGAGAGGACACAGAGGGCACACGACAGAGAGGCCACAGGGCAGAGAGGCCACAGGGCAGAGAGGCCACAGGGCAGAGAGGGCACAGGACAGAGAGGACACAGGGCAGAGAGGGCCAGAGAGCAGCGCTGGGCCACTGTTCTGAGTGAGCTGAGCAGGGTGGGGAGTTGAGTGCACAGATGGCCGTGGGGAAGGCGCCTGCCATGCTGGCCCCGTTTCCCACAAGGCCCTACAACAGCCCTAAGACAACACAGAGAAAGGCAGCGAGACCACAGTCACAATACCCATGTCACCCTCACCTGTGCCGGCCGTTCATCTCCAGGCCCACCACAGGACAGATGAACCGTGCTCGCTGGAGGTCGTCATGCTTGTCGCCCTTGGTGTTCCCTCGATCTCCTTCCCAGGCAGGGTTGTCAGAAAGCCTGAGCTCTGTCACATTCTGTGGAGAAGCATTAACACTGCTGACGTGAGATGAGTGCAGGGACCTGACCTCAGAGCTCTGCAGGGCAGCGGCACCAGAAGGGGAAGAATGAAGCTGACCCGACCGAAGACAGAGACCGTGTCAGCATCCGGTAGTGTTATCCCGTGTGTTCGTGTGTGTGTGCGCGGGGTGGGGGTGGGGGGGGAGGGATACAAGTGCACGCGCTCCCGTGAGTGTGCTTCTGTGCACGTGCCCCTTGCATGTGCTCCCGTGCCTGGATGCTGCCATGCTCCTGCCTTGATGATAATGGACTGAACTGACCCTGTAACCCAGCCCCAATTAAATGTTGTCCTTATAAGAGTTGCCTTGGTCACGGTGTCTGATCACAGCAGTAAAACCTTGACTAAGATACAGATCCTATTAAAGCAACCTTCCTTGGAGGTGCCTGGAACTCAGCCACACCCTGTACCTTACCTTGATGCTTCTAATGTGTGACGCCGCCTTCCCTAGAGCCTTCTCAGCAGATTTGTCCAACAGAAACTCGATGACAGCATCTTTGTTATAGAGTCTACAAGAGTAAGCACGAGTTTACTATTGCAGCAATGATTTCGGAAAACCAAACCGGGGGAAGACCTGAACATGGCCCAAAGTTGCCCGCCTCTGTTAACATTCTGTGCTGCCCGGTAGCAGGTAGAAGCCTGGTTCAACTGCTGCCCGACGCATGAAGCAGTGGCTTAAAGCCAGGGTGGTGGACTTTGAGACGCGGAGAAATCAATGAGTAAGTTCTTACTTCCCCGTCCTTCAAAAAGTAAAGCTCAGAAGAGTGACAGGCACCAGGCCCACACTCTTCAGCTGGAAGAACTGGCTGGAACTGAGAAGCACCGGCCCTCCCCGCTTTAGACAGGTCATGCTCTCTCCACTCCCGCCTCCTCGCTGCTCTCTTCAGTACTCATGGCTGCTTCATGCTTTGGGTTTATAGCTCAGCAGTTACTGCTGGCTCCTGAGTGTAGAACGAACTGAGTAAGAAGGTCCAGGCTATGTCCAGACGAAGGCTCATCTTCCCCTCTGAAGTGCTCAGGATAGCCCCTATTTGATCTGAAGTGCTCAGGAT